GCAATTCCGAACTCTGCAGCCACACTTGTCACACTGCGGCCTTCCTCCAACTTCGCAATGATTCGACCTCGGTAAAAGCATCCAGATGTCGTCTAACAATTGATTATTCGCCATTTCTCGCTGAGAGGCAGCAACTCGGTGTGATTTTAATGCTATACGCGTGCAATCTCTTTGCCAAAAATAATGATCTTACACCGACAACATGCTTTATGCTACTCGGACACTCCCCCATTACGTCTACCTGCATATCTGCGCATGTGCTACCGTACATCACTTTACTTAATCTCCTGATTGGTCTTTCTGTTCGCTCTGCCTCTTCGTTCAGCTGATATGCTAATTTTTCGACTTCGTCCTTAATTTTTGCACACCAGTGTACGTCTGAATGTTTCTTAAGATCATTCATTGACATTAGCGCATGAAGATAATTTCACTACACACTTTGAATATACTCTGAGGTTTGCGAATTCCGGAATAATATAAGTAATCTAATCTATCATATGAATTGGATAGGATTATTTAGATTATACAAAGCCTCATCTGTAAGAAATTATGAAGGAGAGTAAAGGTGTGAATCTTCCTTTACATGGCTTGACTATCCCATCTATTCCATCATTTAGTTATATTTAGTGCAGAAAATTTTGTTTTTATTCTTTTACCCGAGTACAAATGCATTCTAAATTAGAATTTTAGCATATCACGTGAATTCGCTACGTTGGAAAATGTATTTTAGAACAAAAATGAACTTACTTTTTAAAAAACATCTTCTTATATTTATTTAATAAAATAAGAAGAAAAGCCCTCATGTTGCCTATCGAATTCAGAATAACTGTGGATGATTTCTAAATAACATTTGAACCTCCATAGTTTTCTTAATTATCTCGATCTCTTACAGGAGTGAATGTATGTATCACAATATAATTTTTAAAAAGGTGAATATTATAAGTTTTAAACTTACATAAAATTAATATTAAAACAAATGAAGAAGAAAATTAATCAAGTCTCAAGTCAACACTTTATTATTCGAACTAAATAAATAACCACTTAAAAACACTTGATGAGTTGGAACACTCTGGACTTGGAAGGGTCTAGAAAATGGGAACATTCTCAATAAATGAAATATAAAGGAAATTTAAACAAAAATCAATTTTGAATTGATTTGCCTCTGATAGGTTTTGAACTCAGACCCTCGGTTCAAGAAGTCTTACCCACTTAGTCACCACACGCTCAGTCGGAAGAAACAATTCTCGCTACATTTCCTCCTTCTTAAGAATAAGAAGAAATCCACTAGTCTGCCTTCCTGTAACAGGTTTCCTGGAAATATTGGGCGTTCTTCCATTGTCTAGTTGTCCTTTTGGATGAAGATAGGGTTGTAAATTGAATTTATGATCACGTTTTCACGATCCTATTTTATTCACGAGTTGAGAGATCATTAATTAAATTTAGCATATACGAGTATACCAAGAGTCAATATATCTATTCCAGGAAAATTTTCACGTAAAGGACTCAACTAACTCAAGAATCAAAAGTTCCAGTTGAAACGCAGTAATATTTAATGAAGAAACTATTTTCACTATTTACATTACTCAAACACGAGATTTACATATAATATAAATTTCCCCATCATAGGGCCAAGATTAGTTTTATCGAGAACAAATATAACTATTGATTACCGCCATGCGGCCAAGATCATTTTCAAGCGTCACACTTAAACTAAACAAACAAACAAACCAAAAAAAAAAAAAAAAAAAAAAAAGCTTTTTCATTCTTATCTACCGCCGGTCACGTGACAGTCAAGATAAATAATAAAAGAAAAACTGACTCCATCGGAGGGGAAAACATATAATTTTGACAAGGGTTTCAATATCAATACGCGAACGATGTCTTTTGAACTCCGTCGTCTTCTATTTTGTTCCACACTTTTTTGTTCGTACGTCATGTCAGATAGTTGTCGTGTTTTGGAATATTGTTCAAAGTAACGTCTTAAGAGCTCCTTGGATAATCCAACCTTTTGTACTCGAAGAAAACCCAGACTAAGTCTCCGATATTCCAGTTGACAAGTCGTTGTTTCTCATCGTATCGGCGTTTGTTTGTGACTTGCTCTTTGAAGATGTAGAGTTTTGCAAGCTGTCTAACTTTTTCAGCTCTGAATATCAGATGTTGCACATAACTGTCGTCGGGATCTTCGGTATTGGATGGAGGAATTACGTCAATAAGAGTCTGGATATTTCCGCGAGTGAGAAAGAATGTGCTGAATCCTGTTGCGTCTTGTTTTGCAGAATTATGGGCAAAAGTCAGAAATCTTTCTGTTAAATCATTTGTCTGTTGGATGGTAGGCAGTCGTCAGACGACGAGACGAATGGCATAATTTATTGATGTCTTTAACAACATTGGATAAGAAGTTTCGTCCTTGATTACTTATCATTCCTTTGGGGCATCGTGCTTCAGTATAATTTTTTCAACTATAAATTTTGCAACTCCGGTGGTCTCAGCAGTTGGTTCTGCATTTATGACTATAAATCTAGTAAGGTAATCTATGCAAACAATGCACAAGTTCCGATTTCGAGTAACAGGAGAGTGTACAAGTAAATCTACATAATTATAGCAAAATGTATGTCAGAGGGACTTACCGGATGAAGCTATCTTAGTGGACGTCGCGGTGGTGATTCCCGTGTTGCGCATTCTTGACAGTGTGATACATACCGTCGTGTGCTCCCATATAGGCCTGGCTAATAATATTTCCTCCTTATTTTGTCGTACGTATTGGCAAATCCGAGATGACCGGCGTGTGGAGCATCATGAAGACTTCTTACAACATCGCTAGAAGTTATCTTAGTACTACCATTAGACATTCACAGCTTCTTTTCTACAGTATACCATTCCTTATTTGATAATTTTGGTACGCGTCACCTCTCTTGAGAGTTCCAGTGATGGACTTCAATTGTTTATCCTTTAACTGCTCTTTACCGTAATCTGCGATTACTGAAAGGAAAATGATGTCGTCATTGCTCTCAATTATTGGTTCGACAAGGGCCTTCCTTAGTAGTAAATCCGCATCGGAGTGTTGGCGATCGCTCTTGTAACGATATTGATATCGTACTTCTGCAACGTGAGAGCCCTACGTGGAAGTCTTTCAAATGGATCCTTAACATTGGCCAGCCAACATAAAGATGCGTGACTATTGTGAAGGGTTTTCCACAGAGATATGGCCTGAATTTACTGTTCGCCCAGATGACAGAAAGGCACGTAGAACAGATCCTTTCGGTTGCACTAAGGGACCTGGATGCTTAGGCTTTGGTCTTTCTTTGTCGTCCTGGATCTGAACCAACACAGCATCGATGTCTGGATTAAAATATTCCAAAACAGGGCCACTGGACAGTAACATTTTAAGCCTTGTAAAAGATTCCCTCTACAACATGTTCCAAGAAAATTTTGCATCTTTCTCCAAAAAGTCATGCAAAGGTTTTGCGACATCAGCCATCATTCGGCAGTAAAAACACAAAACTAGAAAACTTTGGATATCGGCGATATTTTCTGGAACAGGAAACTTTGATACAGCCTATATCTTTTGTGGATCGGAATAGATCCTATGTTGATAGACTGGGTGTCCCAGTATCGTCAGCTTCTTTCTGCCGAATGAACATTTCTTGGAATTTCACTTCAGTTTTGCCCTTTGGACACATTTCAGAACCTTCCTCGAGCGTTTTTGGTGTTCTTGGAAATTAGAAAGTTACATGTGATTATGTCACCCAGATATCAAAGACAAATATTCTACTTGAGGCCTCTTAGTAATGCATCCATCATGTGTTCGAATGTGGCTGGGTCACTGCATAATCTGAATAGCATGACTTAAAATTCATAAAGATCATCTGGCGTCACGAAGGCTGTTTTTCTCTGTCTTTATGATGGATCTCTATTTGCTAGTAGCCTGACTTCAGATCCATCATAAAGAAACTTCTGCACCAGCCAGGCAGTCCAAAGCATCATCGATGCGAGATAACGCATAGACGTCATTTTGTGGTTACCTTGTTCAATCTTCTACAACCGACATAAAAACGCCATTTACCATTTCCGTTCTTCACAAGTATGACTAGAGATTACCATGGACTTTCTGACGGCTGCATCACGTCTTCTTTTAGCATTCACTGCACTTCCTCTGCAATCACGCGTCTCCTAGTGATTGATATACAGTACGGCCTTTTCTTGATTGGCACGTTGTCACTTGTATCGATCTTGTGCTTCATCGCGTTGCATTGGGATTTCTTCTAGTATTAAAAAAATTATGTCACTAAATTCTTCTAGTATACTCAACGCTCGTCTTTCCAGCATTGGTCAGATCATATCCAAATTTCTTTAATGCTTCTCGAGTTAACCATTTTCTGTACTTATGTTCATCGCAACCTTCTGCAATCTGACCACTCAGGGACCATATAGCGTCATTTGCTATGGTCATCAAAGAGCCTAATTCCTTTCGGTATCAATTGGTTTCTGCGAGAACAATTTATTACCTATGCTTTTCTACAACCATCCTCATTAGTGACAATTGAAGCTGGTATCAATAGCTTCCTTTCGCACATCAGAAATTCATTCCCAATGATCATAGCTCCATCTGCCTCCTTCACGTCTGGATTCAAGGCACATACTGCCTTGTCGAGTTTGCTTCAATTAAGTAATCTGTTGCGGCAAACGAAGAACAAGGATTTATTTAAATCTTCATTGTCTGGAAGGAATCTTCTACAACCGACATAAAAACGCCATTTACCATTTCCGTTCTTCACAAGTATGACTAGAGATTACCATGGACTTTCTGACGGCTGCATCACGTCTTCTTTTAGCATTCATTGCACTTTCCCTGCAATCACGCGTCTCCTAGTGATTGATATACAGTACGGCTAAGGCTACTATAAAGAGGAGCTGAATCATCATCCATTTTGAATCTAACTAAGCACGTTTGTTGGTTATTCTCTATTGGATTAGGATCATTATCTTGACATATTTGTTGATCGATTCACTCTTAATATTTAAAAATATGGGTGGTTGTGCTGCCCCAAATTGTTCGAATCAATCCAAAAATAACTTTAGGTTGTTTCGTTTCCCAAGAAATGAAGAAAGACGAAGAAAATGGATAATTAATTCTCGTCGAGATCAATGGATTCCGGGCCCAGGAGCGTATCTTTGTGAAGTAAGTTCAGCTTCGTACTTTTCCATAGAATGTTAGAAAAATTACTCTTCCTTCAAAATATGCATTTTCATTCAGCTATCACTTATAGACGATCAACTGATTTTATAAATACAAAATCAATTGCAGAATGTGTATGTGTTTGTGCTGTAAAATATCGGCAATACTGTTTATGATGTTGTTTCTTTTATTATCGTAAAGAGTTTACAGTGTTTGTAAAATTGTATCCTACATTTCATGTAAACTTTGTGCTCGGTTAGAAATGTGATGTGCCTTTTTTTATTTAATTTTACTGTACCGTATGATTCTAACGCTAAATCTGTTAGTTTTGATTCTGCCATGTAAACTGTCGCCAAACTCGGATAGTATGATCTAAATAATGAATTAAAAACTTGGTGGTATGATCAAATAAAAATGATTTGTTTTTTCTTTACAGTAAAATAAATATATTCTGTACTTTTTATGACATTTTGAAGACGTTAAGTGTTCATTTAAATATTCGACGAATCATTTTGGTCCCATTATCATCACTTTATGTAGTAGTAAATCTTAATGTTATATTTTTAACTATAGGTACTTTAAATTTATTTTAGTGTGTGAGCAGGAAATATGTTTAAGTAGTTTTACAAACATGATTACTTTTTAAAAATTTTGTTATTTTCATAAAAAAAATTTTAATTTATCAGAAAATTACATTCTTAATTAATTATAATATATGTAACTGTAATTAAATACTAGTGCTTTTGATTTTAATGTTAAATTTCATGCATGCTTTTTGTTAAATATGGCAGGTACATTTTGAAGAAAATCAATTTGAATGCTCTAGGCAAGATGGGCGTAAAAAACTCAAGCCCAATGCTGTGCCAACTCTTTTCAATGTGCCTAATCCCCCACAACTGTTGACCCCACAGCGTCTTAAAAGGCATTGGGTTACCAAAGCACCGTTCAGTTACATCCAATTTTTGTAATGTATGTGTTTTTTTATTTTTATGGTTTTTCATAAAAAAATATGTTTTTATTACAAATGGACTAAATTGCTTTATAAAAGAATCAAAATATTGAAATTAAGGCATTATGTGATAAAGCTGTAATTACAGTCCCTAAGATTAGATTAAAAAAAAAAATTAAATTTGCTGTTGTTATATATATAATTAAGTATGTACTTGTTATATAATCATATATTGAAAATTAAGCATAAAACCTCAATTTGATGTAGTTTTTGGATAAAGTTTTTTGTAGTTTTCGAGGACGGTCATACATGGGTTCTGGTTTCTTCAGATTTGCTCCTAAAAGAAAGAAACCGGTATCTGATTGCCTTCAAAGTCAAAAGAGTTTAAATCAAATTTGTATTAAACTAAAGTTGCTTTTTTGCTTAATTTTAAATTCCAGATAAATAGAGAGAAATATGTATGGAGTAAGTAAAAGAAATAATATTGAAATTAATAACTTTAATCTTGAGTAATACAATAATATAGTTATAATACATTGTTTTAAATGTATATTTAATGTCTTATTTATGTCTGATGTCTTGTCTGAATGTTGTTATTTTTTATTTAAAGATTTAACAAAAATTATTAGGATTATTTATAATTATTTATTATTAAAATTACATTAAGTATATTTTATTTATCAGCATTTTCAGGAAGTATCCTTACTTATATGTGTTTCATAATTTGTGCATCTTCAGGGTGGCTTGCAGCACAGTTCACCCTTTATCAACTGAAGTGATTTCTGTTGCTGAACCATCTGTTGTAAGTCTTCATTTGAACAGTTATTAATATTTAGTATTATAAACTTTTTCTAAAAAGTATTAACACTGTTTCTAAAATTTAAAAATATATTAATAATATTTACTTATGTTTAAGAAGTATGAATGCTATGAACAGTCCAATGTATTTATGCTTTTTTATAAGTCGAGTTACTTTTAAATGGTAATGATTATTTGTATTTATTTTTATCCGATCAGAATTTATAATTTCTTTCACTTCCACATATTTCATATATTATAATTTCTTTTAGGTTCATTTGCCACAACCTTCAGCTTCATATTTTGGAGAAATAAATTTTGCTGCCGAAGTATCTGATGTAAATTGCCATTTTGCACTTCTAAAAATTTTAATAGTTTTTAACATCTATTCGTAAACTGTACTATGTTTTTTTAAATGTTTCCATCTTCATAATCATGCACTTTATTTCATTTCACCAGTGGTTGCAAATGTGTACATTACAGTACATTTCAGGTGTGTTTGCAACAGCATTTAGCATTACCTTATCTGATTAACTAACAGCTGCTAGTATTAAGCAATCTATTGCTATGTTTTCATTTCAGCAACTATTAAATGTCATATGTTTTACATATATTAAGGAATTTTAATATGATTTCTGAAATATGAAATTGTTTGTCTTATTGTGTGCCTTGCTAAACAGCTGTACTATATCTGGCTGTTATGCTATGGAATTATTTTTTTAATTTTGAGTGTAAAAATTTATTATCTGTTTGTGAATTATAAAATGTTATGTAAAATAATTATTTCTTAAAATGAATGTAGTTTATATCATCTGCATTTGTAAATTTCTTATAGTATATTTCAGGTTTGTTTCGCAAGAACAAGCTTTCAACTTCATCTTGTGATAAAGTGCCATCTATTTGTGAAGGATCTCATGTAAGTAGATAATTAGTGTATTATTAAATTGCTTGCTTATACAAAACGTTTCTATTAACTTTTTTTGGGGGGGGTAAAAGGAATGTAATTAATTTCATCAGCATTTACAAATTCTTTGTGTACATTTCGGGTTTGTTTGCAAGAACAGCCTTTAGCCTCATTTTGCAATGAAATACCATCTATTTGTGAAGGCTCTGATGTAAGTTGATAACTAATGTATAATTAAATTGCTTCCTTATATGCATTTAAAATGTTCTATAAAAGTAATTTTTTGGTAAAAGGAATGTAATTAATTTCATTCAATAGTTGCAAATTCTCTATGTAAATTTCAGTTTTGTTTGCAAAAACAAAACCTTTAGATTCATCTTGCAGCCAAAATTGTAATTAATTTTAATTAATTTCATCAGCATTTGTGAAGGCTGTGATATAAGTTGATAATTTGTGTTATTAAATTGGCTCATGATTATGGAGATAATCGATCCCTTGAAAAGCTGGAAATAAATTTTAAAAATTCTAATTTTAAGTGAAATAAATTTTAAATATTAGAAAATAAAACAAAAATAAATCTAGAAAATGCTGAAAACAATAGAATCAAATTTAGAAACCCAACACAGTATAGGAAGAGACCTGAAACTTGCGTTTTTATTTTGCTGATTTATTATCTGTTTAAGTTTGGCACTTAATCCAAAGGGGCTTTGTCCCTGAAGGACTATTGTTTTTGTTTTGTATTGAAACACTATAAACGGCTGCATCACTTTTCAAATTGTTGCCACCAAATATTATCACCCTGTACTATATTTAAAGAAATTATATAGTGAAGAATCTGCATAAATGCATGAATGTTTTTTGCATTCTGATAAAACAACGGTACCTAGAGCCATCAAATTTTGAATGACTTAATTCTACTGTGAATATGGACATCTGGAAGACCGAATTTGAAATTTGGAATTTGTTTAATATATATTTTATATGTTGTAAAACTTTAACGAATTTTGATTAACCAACTTGAGGATTTCAAAGCGAGCAATGGCAATGTTGTACAGAAAAGACACTTTTATCTCCAGTGTGTGAGACAATGTATCGGAAATTCTAAAGATATGCTCAATTTAAAATTATTTTGAGATATTGCCGATGAACTGAATTTCATGGTTCATGTGCGAAGAACATGATATTTAATAAATAAAAGTAACACCCCCTTTGGACGTAATTTAAAACCTGAAACCTTTCAGATTTTCTTTTGTTTGTTTGTGTTGTGTGTATGTTTTTTGTTTGTTTGTTTATTTGTCGTTTATTCTTTGATGTTTATGTTCATATAGATTTTTTCTTTATTCCAGGATGTTCTTTTAAGGAATATTATAAAACAGCAGACTGAATTGATCTCGCTTCCGCAATGCCAGAACAAAATATTGCTGAATGAACTTACAGCACCCACCCTAAAAAAATTAAGAAAACTGGCATAGCACTGAAATTCAACTTCATTGCCTTCAAGTACAGCATGAGGAATTGCTGAAAGGAGTGAAAACATTCCTTTCAGATGAGCAAATAGCAATGTTGAAAATCCCTCGTAGAAGCATTGCAAAATGGTCTAACGATAGATTTTCTTTGAGCAAGCATGGTTATAGTTACTTGCATAGAATAGGTTTTCCTGTGGCTTCATACAGCACTTTGAATAAAAGACTTCAAGGTCTAGAAATGAATTTTGAGGTCATCAGTGACATGATTGAACTTTTAAAAATTAAAGGGGAAAAATGGTTGTTAGTGATAAAGACTGTATTTTATCATTGGATGAAATGGAAATTTCTGGCAATCCCGATTTTGATATTTCGAAACGTAAATTTATTGGTAAATGTACATTAAGAAATCAAAAGGCTGCAAGAAATCACTATTTAGTTATTTTACTAAGAGGTTTTGAAGCTGAAATGGAAGCAAGTGGTTGTCCATGAGATAACTGGACAGGTAACAGGATGCCAGCTGAAATAACTTGTTGTCAATGTTATCGATGCTGTCAATTCTGTTCGATTTAATGTTGTTGGTATTGATAGCGATATGGCAACAGTAAATAGAAGCCTGTGGAATTCTTTGGGAATATCCGTTTCTTGAAATTCAGATTAGAAAATTCAGATTTCAGAAATTAAGGGCAAAATTATTTATGTATTTGCAGATGTGCCAGATCTTTTAAAAAATATGTGGTCTGCAACTCTTAATAATAGCATAAAACTGTCCAGTTATGTTTGCAGTAAAGAAAAATTTGTTACTTCGCATGTATCTGCAGGATTTATAAAAGATATCTGGATTACAGAAACAAACCAAAATTGTGGTTTGAGAACTATGCATCATCTCAACAAAGACCTCTTCCCTTCATATTTTGATAAAATTTGAATGTTGCTTCTGCTGTGAGGTTTTTTTCAATTAAAACAGCTGTAGGATTGGAGAAGGCAGTAGCTTTAAAAGAGGTAAGCCCTAATGCTCTTACAACAGCATGGTGGATAAGATTTTATTGTCAGTGGTTTCAAATGCTATCCTCTAGATGTAGAAAGACTCAATTCTGTGACAAATAAAGCAAAAAATTGAGTCTTTTTGAATTTATTAATGTTATACAGCGTATAGAAATTGGTAAAGGGTGGAAACCATTACTACTGGTTTGATTCTTCTACTTTATCAGCCTACAGTTAGCAGAGGCATGTTTTCTGAATGATTTTCAGTTTATTTTGACGAGCAGATTGACACAAGATGCTCTAGAAAATGTATTTTCTCAGATACGCAGAAAGCTGGTTTGAGGCAGTGCTTTGCAAGCTCTGAAAGCATTAAAGCTTATCTGTTTATCTCAGTTTATACTGACATAAAGAACTCCAGTTATGCTACTGATTCATATTTTACTTGTAAAACTATGCAAAAAAGATGAATTTGAATTTCTGAAGGAGAAAAAGCTTTAGAGCTGTTACCATACCAGAAGTTTCTGATGTATCTCTACGAATCTCACTCTAGTGAGGGAAAAACGTCTGTTATATTGCAGGAGCTGCAATAAATTCTGTTTTGAAAAATGCTTGTAATTCATGCTCACAGTTTTCTCTTAGTTTGTGAGCAAAATCTCCTTCCATTGATGAAAATAAGCAGTACATAATTAATTTTGCAAATTTTAGGTGGGCTTAAATGTCCTTCTCCAGAAATTTTAAATTGTGCCTCTGTGTGAAAAAATAATTCAAAATTTTCGAGACGAAATAATACATGGAATGTAACTCTGGATGTGGAATTGTTAAAATGATTTGTAAGAAAGCAGGCGAGGTAAATATTCCCTCCTGTTGCAATCAAAACAAAGATAATAAATATTATTTGAGCCCGTGAATTGGTCTCAAGAAGCTTCTCAAAATAAAAGGCAGCCAGCGGGCAAAGTTTTGCATCTCCTGCTTTTAAAAGGAAGAAGTAAACTAGAATCTAATCAGAGTTTAAGAAGTTTTTGCTGTTCAGTTCTGTCTGTAAAAAAGTAGAGTAGTTGTCACTGAAAAATTGCTGTTTGTCTCTCGAATAATAATTAGGCCCACCAACAGCTGAATGGTAAATTACTGAATGCTGGGAGTTCCATCTTCTGTTTTCTATTTCCGAACAGGCTGGCTGCATGGTTGGTTTTTTGTGGGTTTTTCCCCATGTGTAATGTGAATACAAGCCAGTTCTCCTTAGAAAGTCCTCGCAATAGAAGATCTCATGTCAGCTAAATCGGATTTACTTTTGTATGACCTTAAATGAGGCATCAATTGTGAATCTGTTTTGGCATTTATTAGGAATTTTAAATGAAACATTTATTGCTGTTGTGAAAGAATGATCAACAGATTTTTACCTTACTAATCATCTTATAGTTTGTAATGGCTTGCAGGATTTTTTAATGGGAGTGCATATGTTTTACTCTTCTTTTTACCAAATAATAGGTATGTTCTAATCAGACATTTTTCTTTTGTACCAGGGTTATAGATGATGTGATAATTTGGATTTGTTTTAGAATAATAACAGTATTTTTGACATTCTAATAGAACCAGTGTATTTTATTTATTACTTATTGCTTTAAAACAGATTTTGAATCAATGCTTACTTCCCACCCCTTTGAGTATGCACATAAACATGTTTAAGCTATATTTATAATATATCAATGAGATACAGTGGATGGACAAAATATAAACACCTTGTGAAAGCATGTTGAAAAAGATTGAGTTAATGAAATATGTGGTGGCGTGGCGTTTTTGCCTATGCTGATGATGAGTGATCGTGACAGACGATCATTAGGCAATTGTGACGAAAAATAGCAGACCACAGCTGCAAAAGTTATGATGAAATGAATGTTGTTGTTACCGAACCCTGTGAGTCCAAAAACAATTAGAAGGAGCTTCATAAACAGGAATTGCTGGCCCGTGCTGCAATTGAGAAGCCACTCATCATGTTAATGCCCGTAACAGGAAAGGTTGGTGTTTAAGTCATAAACCCTGGACTATAGAGCAGTGGAAGCGAGTAATTATGGTCTCGAGTCTTCTTACATTGTTTTCCCACCTACTGGCCGAGTTTACGTCTGGAGAACGCCATCTCAAGCCTAAATACAGACTGTTGTTGCCAAAGTGAAACATGGCGGGTGTTCTGTTCTGTGTTTGGGCAGCCAATCGTGGTTCTCTGCTAGGCCCCATGATAAACTGTGTCAGGGCACATGACTGCCAAGACTTATGTGAACATTTTAGCTGATCAAGTTCATCCCATGGTACAAACTTGTTCCCAATGGTGATGGTTTTTCCAAGACGCCAAGCCCTTTACACAGCTCACATTGTCCAGGACTGGTTTTCTGAGCTCGAGGATGAGTGTCCCATCTTCCCTGGCCACACAGTCACCAGACCTGAATAGTATGAACCTTTGTGGTCTTAGATTAGCTCCTTTAATGGAAAAGAACAAAATAAAATGATATACCTTGAAAAGAAGATACTATCTGAATATGTTGGCTAAAATTTATTCAGATGGTTTTTTGCATTTATTCAAACATCTCCGCATATAAATGAGAATTAATTATATTATATTAGTTTTAAAAGTAAAACTAATATAATATCATTCTATATAAAGCGTTTGAGTATAATGGAAAAAATTCAATACTGCAGTATGTTTTAATAAAATTTGAATGTAATAGACTGAATTGCACTACATTAGACCAAAAAGCAAACATTTTTATTTATTTATCTTTATTTTCACTATATGTGTTTGTCATATGTTTGTTACTGGAGGACTTTTTTTATAGATTTGAAGCTAAATAAATATATTTTATGTTTTTACTTATGCAAATTAATTAATAAAAGAACTGTGATTAAGTATTGTCTTTGCTGTGATATAGATTGAATCTTATTATGTTATGGAATTATCATTTAAAATATTCAGATACGTGTAATATTAAGAGCATATGTATGTAAGTATAATTTTTCCAAGTATAATAAAAAGTACCATCAACAAACAAATAAACTTATAAGTAAATAGTATCTGTAAATTCTGTATGTAAATGTATTATTTTTTTTTATTATTTGGTATTATTTTAATATGTTTTTAGCTAAATAAAGAAAAAAAAAATATTAATGGAATTTTTTACTCTATTAAATCTATGAATCCCACAGTCATCTGAGCATTGAAGTAATTTTATAGCATTCTGCATTCATTCTAAAAAGCATTATAATTTAAATGTGTATATTTTGAATCAGTATTTAAAATCATAAAGTGTTTAGCAGCTTTTTGGAAACACACACAAAATAACATTTTTAACAAATTTGCTACAGTAATAGACGTTTGATTCCATGTGAGCAAAATTCAAATAACATATTAAAAATAAAAAAAAAATTAAAGATTAAAACTTATCCTGAATTAATGGAGGTTGAGGGATTTCCCTCAACCATATTAAGAATGTGGTTGAGCTCTTGTCAAGTGTAAGAATGAGCTCTTGTCAAAAAATACATTTTGAGATAAATAACATTATACGTGTATTTAAAAGAAAAATTGAAAATTCAATAAAGGAATTCAAAAGAAAGTATTTTTAACTAAAAATACAAATTTGAATATGATATGTGAAAATGTTTAAAAACTTTTAAAATACTTGAATCATACGAGAAATTTACAATTTAAAAAAAAAAAAAAGAGAGAAAGAATCTGAACTGCAGACAAAAGAAGGGGGGGAAAAAGCCACACATCTTTATAGGAGTGCAGGAAAAAAAGATGAAATTCGGATTTCTAGAATGTTAAATTTTAGCGGACAGCGCTAAAGAGCCAAAGTTGCTGCTCCACACCTAATTGCAACCAAAGCTTGATTCAAATGGCTGACGAGTCAGCCTGTATCTGTAGTAGCTCTAAGTACGGCCTTTTCTTGATTGGCACGTTGTCACTTGTATCGATCTTGTGCTTCATCGCGTTGCATTGGGATTTCTTCTAGTATTAAAATAAATTATGTCACTAAATT